GTAAAAGAAATGAAAATTAATAGTACCGAGATCCTCGTTAATAATGAGCCACTGATAAACGCAACATATTTATAACTTGTGTAACATTTTATTTATGTGCATTCTTTGAGCATTATGCAATATGTAATTAAAAATTTTTAATTAAAATGTAATATCTTTATTTGTTGTCAATTGATTTTTCCCCCATTTAAAAATTTGCAAATGATAATTGTGCATATTCATGGGGTACATAGTGATGCTTCAGGACATATAATATATAGTGATCAGATCTGGGTAATTAGCATATCCCTCATCTCAAACATTTATTATCTTGTTTTTTTTTTTTTTTTTTTTTTTTTTTTTTTGAGACATAGTTTTCCTCTGTTGCCCAGGCTGGAGTGCAGTGGTGCAATCTCGGCTCACTGCATCCTCCACCTCCCGGGTTCAAGTGATTCTCCTGCCTCAGCCTCCTGAGGAGCTGGGATCACAGGCGCCTACCACCATGCCTGGCTAATTTTTGTATTTTTAGTAGAGACGGGGTTTCACCATGTTGATCAAGCTGGTCTTGAACTCCTGACCTCAAGCAATCCACCTGCTTCAACCTCCCAAAGTGCTGGGATTACAGGTATGAGCCACCGCGCTCAGCCTAAACATTCATTATCTTTTTGTGTTGGGAACATTCAATATCCTTCCATCTATTGGAAACTGTAAAATATACTATTGTGAGCTATAGTCATTCTCCATTGCTGTAGAACACTAGAACTTACTCCTCCTATCTAGCTGTAATTCTGTAACTTTTAACAAATCTCTCCCTATCGTTCTCTTCCTGCTTCCCTTCTCAGCCTCTAATATCCTCTATCCTACTTTTTACTTCTATGAGATCAACCCTGACACAGTTTGGATGTTTGTGCCCTCCAGATTTCATGTTGAAATGTGATCTCCAGTGTTGGAGATGGGCCTGGTGGGAGGTGTTTGTGTCATGGAGTGGATCCCTCGAGAATGGCTTGATTCTCTTCCCATGGTAATGAATGAGTTTTTGCTCTATTAGTTCACATGAGAGCTGGTTGTTTAAAAGAGCCTGGCATTTCTCACTTGTTCCCTCTCTTGCCACGTGACATGCCTGCTCTCCCTTAGCCTTCTGCCATGATTGTAAGCTCCCTGAGGCCCTCACTAGAAGCAGATGCTGGCACTAAGCTTCTTGTAAAGTCTGCAGAACCATGAGCTAAATAAATCTGTTTTCTTTATAAATTACCCAGCCTCAGGTATTCCTTTATAGCAATGCAAAATGGATTAAAACAAACTCATTTTAGCTTCCACATATGAATGAAAACATGTTTAACTTTCTGTTCCTGTCTTATTTCACTTAACATAATGTCTTTCAGTTCCATCCATGTTGCCAAGAATGACAGGATTTCATTCTTAATGACTAAATAGTATTTCATTGTGGATATATACCACATTTGCTTTATCCATTCGTTTGTTGTTGGACACTTAGATTGATTCCATATCTTGACTATTATGAGTAGTGCTGCAAGAACATGGGGGTGTAGATGTCTCTTTGAGATGCTGATTTCCTTTCTTTTGGATAAATATCCAGCAGTGGGATTGCTGGATCATATGGTTGTTCTATTTGTAGTTTCTTGAGGAACATCCATACTGTTCTCCATAGTGGCTGTACTGGTTTACGTTCCCACCAACAGTGTAGAAGAGTTCCTTTTTCTTCACATCCTCACAAGCATTTGTTATTTATTTATGTTTGTCTTTTTGATAATAGCCATCCTAACTGAGGTGAGATGATACCGCATTGTGATTTTGATTTGCATATACCTGATGATTAGTGATGTTGAGCTTTAAAAAATATATTTTTGGCCATTTTTATGCCTTCTTTTGAGAAATGTCTGTTCAGATTATTTGCCCATTTTTATATTAGATTATTTTTCTTTTGTTGAGATGATTCAGTTCCTTGTATATTCTAGATAGTAATCTCCTGTTGGATGGGTAGTTTGCAAACATTTTCTCCCATTCTGTAGGTTGTCTTTTCACTCTGTTGATTGTTTCTTTCTTTTATTTTTTTGAGAAAGAGTCTCACTCTGTTCCCCAGGCTGGAGTGCAGTGGCATGATCACAGATCACTGCAGCCTCGACTTCCCCAGACTCAGGTGATCCTCCCACCTCAGCCTCCTGAGTAGCTGGGACTACAGCCATACACCATCATGCCTGGCTAATTTTTGTGTTTTGTGTAGAGATGGGGTTTCACCATATTTCCCAGGCTGGTCTTAAACTCCTGGGTTCAAGTGATCCTCCTCACTTAGCCTCCCAAAGTGCTGGAATTGCAGGTGTGAACCACTGGGCCTGGCCTCGTTGATTTTTTTCTTTGCTATGTAGAAGATTTTTAATTTGATAAAATTTCACTTGTTTAGTTTTGCTATTGTCGTCTGTGCTTTTAAAATCTTATTCATAAAATATTTTCCCAGACTCATGTCCTCTGTTTTTTTCTCATAGTTTTATCATTTTTGGTCTTACACTTAGGTCTTTGATCCATTTAGAGTTGATTTTCATATAAGGCGAGAGGCAGGGGTCTAGTTTCATCCTTCTGCCTATGGATATCCAGTTTTCCCAGCACCTTTTATTGAAGAGACCTTCTTTTCCCCAATTAGTGTTCTTGGGACCTTCGTCAAAAATCAGTTAGCAGTATATATGTGGATTAATTTCTGGATTCTCAATACTGTTTCATTGGTCTGTGTATCTAATTTTATGCCAGTACCATGTTGTTTTGGTTACCCTGGCTTTGTAGTATATTTTGAGGTCTGGTAGTGTGATACCTTCAGTGTTGTTCTTTTTGCTTATGATTACTTTGGTTATTTGGGGTCTTTTGGATTTTTTTTTCTATTTCTGTGAGAAATGTCACTGGTATTTTGATAGAGAGAGCAGTGTTATTGTAACAATATTAATTCTTACAATCCATCAGCATGGGCTGTCTTTCCATTTGCTTGCATCCTCTTCAATTTCTTTCATCAGTGTTTCATAGTTTTCCTTGTAGAGATCTTTCACTTTCTTGGTTAAATTTATTTCTAGGTATTTTAATATTTTTGTAGTTATTGTAAATGAAATTTCCTTATTAATTTCTTTTTCAGCTAGTTTATTGTTCATGTATAGAAATGCCACTGGTTTTTGTATGTTAATTTTGTATACTGCAACTTCACTGAATTCATTTATCAGTTCTAAGAGTTTTATTGCTAGAGTCTTTAGGTTTTTCTAGATATAAGAGCATGCAATCTGCAGATAGGGACAATTTAACTTTCCCCATTCCGACTTGAATGTCTCTTATTTCTCTCTCTTATCTAATTGCTCTGAATAGGACTTCCAGTGCTATGTTGAATAAGAGTGGTGACAGTTGGGCATTCTTGTGCTGTTCCATTTATTAGAGGAAAAGCTTTCAGCATTTCCCCATTCAGTAAGATATTCACTGTGTGTTTGTTATACATGCTGTTTATTATATTGAGGTACTTTCTATACCTAATTTGTTGAGAAATTTTTTTATTATGAAGGGATGTTGAATTTTATCAAAAACTTTTTCTGCATCTATTGAGATGATCATGTGATTTTTGTGCTTCATTCTATTGATGAGATATATGATGTTTATTGATTTGCATATTTTGAACCAAATTTGCATTCCTGGGATAAATCCCACTTTATCATGGTATATTATCTTTTTGATGTGTTGTTTGGTTCTGTTTGCTGATATTCTGTTGAGAATTTTTGTGTCTCTTTTCATCAGAGATGTTGGCATGTAGTTTTCTTTGTTGTGTCCTTGTCTCATTTTGGTGTCAGTAATAAGTAGAATGAGTTAGGATGAATTCCTTGCCTTTTAATTTTCTGAAATAGTTTAAGAAGAATTGGTATTAATTATTCTTTAAAGGTTCAACAGAAGGTGTGGGATAGGGGTAGGGAGTGCATATCTTATGCTTCTAGTCTGGAGCAATGCAGCTGTGCAGATTCCTGGCAGCTCTCCACACTGGACTCAGGGCTTGCAAGAACTGTGAGATTCTCCTTTTGTAAGGACTGTAGGTGTTTGCTGTGTCAACAGGGGTTGATGAGGTCCTTCTGTTTATCTTTTCCATGCAATGAGAAGTCCCTCCTGACTCCAGGCAGATTCAATCTGAACAGGGGATACAGGGCTGCAGAGGCTGAGTGCCTGCATGCTGCCTTTCTGGACTGCCATTCACCACAGTTGCATCTTCACTCCCCCACTGTACTCCAGCAGCCTCCCTTCAACACTCCAATCAAATCTTATCTGTTTATTCATTGCCTTTGTCCTTTTCTTAGTTGGGTAGGGGGGCAGGCAGAATTCCAGGCATCTCTAATCAACCATCTGCTGACATCACTCTTTCAAATGATCTGTAGTTTATTTTTATTTTTTTAAGAAAAAATTGTATTACAAGGATTCTATATTTATACCTTATGCTAGGAGACTTAAGGTCATTAAAATATAATAGAACCCCTACTTTACAACAGAAGTGGATATATAGTCATCTATAGCATGGTAGAATTCAAACATCACTTCTGTGGCTTTAGTAACTGTGACCTGGCTCTATCTGGATGTGCAATTGCTGAGGAAATGTTAAAATCAAAACTTGGGCACTGATTTTTTTAAAAAAAGTAATTATATAGAACTCACCAAAATTACAGTTTTTTTTTCCCAAAATGCTTACTGTGCTTTTAAAATAATTAATATTAAGTATCCCTCTGTGTGAAGATCATAATTATGACCATCATATCACTATGTCAACAATGATCTTTGAGAGTTAAAAGAATAAAAGATAGGAGAGCCAGCTTGTTGGTGCAAAGAAGATTCTTAGAAGTACCAACTGAGAGATAAAAGTGCTGGCCTAGAAACTAGTAACCTTCTCATGATGTCATTAAGGCAAAGGTTGACTACGACTGGAGCTAAGAGACACTGGAGTTATCTATTTTGCATTTCATGGTTCTTTTTTCCTCTCTCTCATCATTTTGGGTTTCCAGCTGAGACATTACAACAAAGATTAGAAGACCTGGAACAAGAGAAAATCAACCTGCACTTTCAGCTTCCTTCAAGGCAGCCAGCTCTTAGCAGCTTCCTGGGTCACCTGGCAGCACAAGTCCAGGCTGCCTTGCGCCGTGGGGCCACTCAGCAGTGAGTACTTGTCATTGTCACCATTTTCCCCTCAGGTTTCTTCCTACCTCTCAGCTCCCACATAGTGAAGAGCTGGGAGGAGCTTAGCTGTAGAGACCCTCAGCTGCCTTTCCTGGGAAGGGCCCTTTGTTGGTTGAGAAGGTGGGGATTTTTCCAGAGTGAGGGATGACCCATGTGGGTCATGCTTCTCTAGAAAGAAGACTTTTCTGCTACTTGACAGAGAGAGACCCTCCTCAAGTGCAACTGCATCCCAGGTCTGAAGCATCTCTTGGGAAGCTACCCTTCTAAGAAGGTGGGGGTAATTTCCTCTTGTTGAGGCAACTTGATGTCCTGTGATCATATTAAGTCTGTAAGATAAACAGATGGTCCCCTCTGACCAAGCAATGAAAATCCATCCTCCTCCTAACTCTACCGCCAGCTCCTGAGCAACATTTGCTATTTCTGTCACCCAAGGCTCTTCTGAGATCAGTAATACATAGAGAGCAATTGCTGCTTCTAATCCAGTGGCTTGTAGTCCTGGCTGCATGTTTGAATAACTTAGAAAGATTTAAAACCTACCAATGTCCAGGCTCCACCCCAGGCAAGCTAAGTCAGAATGTCTAGGTGTGGGAGGCAAGGGTGGCTCCCAGATATTGGCATGCTTAAAAAGGCTGAGGACCACTGCTCCATCTACCTGCATGTTCCCTCTCTCCCCAGGTAAAGGTCTGAGAGGGAACAGGTGTTTTATGAATGCTATGAGCCTCATCACAATTCAGGTCTCTTTCTACTTAGTTATCAACATGGCCACAACAATACCACTTTATTTCCCACTTCCAATTGGCCCTGACAATCACAAGATTTTCTGGCCTATTCCTATTAAGTGTACATGGCATTATACATTTAGTTTACTTTGGTACCTCCCTAAAGCCTGCCTGCACAGTGAGGCCAATTATTTTCTCAGTTTTGCCAGTAGCATATAGCAGAGTGAATGGCACCTGGTAGGTGCTTCCTTGTAACTATTTGCTTAGTGAACTTTTTCATGGTTCTCTTCAATAGGGAGTAAATTTCACCTCGACATTTTTATTCTTTTCTAATCTGACATTTAGACATCATTGCAACATTGCGTGTTCCTCTTTCTTTCACACATGAGACCACTCCCAAGTTGACTTTTTATGTAATTCTCTCATTCTTTTATCTTTGGGGTTATTTCTTGTCCTCTACTCCAGTCTTGGGAGATTTTTAGCATATAGAAATGGGGTACAAAAATTGAGGCACAATAAATTTTATGTTTCTATTTATTTAACAAACACTTTCATAACAGTTACTAAGTGCTTTAGAAGTTACTCATTTAACTTATTTCCATTTTTTAAAATTGTGGTAAAATACATATAACATAAAATCCATCATCTTAAGTGATGGTGATTGAGTGATTAAGCCATTATTAAGTATACAGTTCAGTGGTATTAAATACATAATAATATTGTGCAATCATCACCACCATTCATCTCCAGAACTTTTTCCTCTTCCCCAAGTGACACTTTGTACCCATTAAGAAATAAATCCCCATCCCTGCCCCTCTTCCAGCCCCTGACAATCACATTCTAATTTCCATTTCTCTGAATTTGTCTACTCTGTGTACCTCATACAAGTGGAATCATACAATATTTGCTGTTTTGTGACTGACATTTCTCATATCATAGTGTCTTCAGTGTTCGTTCATCTGATAGCATGTGTCAAAATTTCCTTTCTTTCAAGGCTGTATAATACTCCATTGTGTGGATAGACTACAGTTTGCTCATTCATTCATTTAAATAACTCATTTAATGTTCATGACAATTCTAAGGGGTATTATTATTTTATATATATTATTTTATATATTTTATTTTATATAGTATTAAATATATATTTTTTATATATTTCATATATTTATATATAGTATTATTTTATATATTGATATCTATGTGTATAGAGATCCATATCTACATCTGTACCTGAATTTTAGGATGAGGAAACCAGGCCCAAGAGAAGCTAACAAACTTAGGCAGACCAACCAGCAGGTGAGTGCTGAGGGAGACAGAAACCCAACTGTCTGGCTTGCATCCTGGCCCTGAATCAGTGCACTGTGCTGTCTTTTAGCCCTACCTGCAATTTGGATGGAGAGTGTATTAGTCCATTGCTATAAAGAAGTAACTGAGACTGAGTAATTTATAAATGAAAGAAGATTGATTGGCTCATGGTTCTGCAGGCTATACAGGGAGCATGATGGTAGCATCTGCTCAGCTTCTGGGGAGGCCTCAGGAAACTTACAATCATGGTGGAAGGTGAAAGGGGAGCACACACATTGCATTGCCAGAGTAGGAACGAGAGAGAGAAAAGAGGGAGGTGCCACACACTTTTAACCAATGAGATCTCATGAGAAGTCTATCATGAGAATAGTGCCAGAGAATGGTGCTAAACCATTCATGAAGTATCCACCCCCATGATCCAGTCATCTCCCACCAGACCCTGCCCTCCAACACTGGGGATTACAATTTGACGTGAGACTTGGGTGGGGACACAGATCCAAACCATATCATTCCACCCATGTTCTCCCCAAATCTCATGTCTTTCTCCCATTGCAGAATACAATCATCCATTCCCAATAGTCCCCTAAAGTCTTAACTCATTTCCAGTGTTAACTCAAAAGTTCAAAGTCCAAAGTCTCATCTGAGACAAGGCTAGTCCCTTCTGCCTGTGAGAGTTTGTAAAATATGAAAACAGTTAGTTACTTCCAAGATGTAGACATTGAGTCAATACTCCTGTTCCAAAAGAGAAAAATTGGCCAAAAGAAAGGGACTATAGGCCCCATGCAATTTGAAGCCCAGAAGGGCAGTCATTAAATCTTAAAGCTCCAAAATAATCTCCTTTTGACTCCATGTCTCACATACAGAGCACACTGGTGCAAGGAGTGGGCTCCTGTGACCTTGGGCAGCCCTACCCCTGTGGCTTTGCAGGGTACAGCCCCTGCAACTGCTCTCACAGGCTGGCGTTGAGTGCATGCAGCTTTTCCATGCTGAGGATGCAAGCTGCCAGTTGGATCTACTATCCCAGGCACTGCAGGATGGTGGCCCCCTTCTTACAGCTCCACTAGGCAGTGCCCCAGTGGGGACTCTGTGTGGGGCCTCCAACCCCACATTCCCCCTCCGTATTACCCTAGTAGTGGTTCTCCATGAGGGGTCCTGCCCTGCAGCAGACTTCTGCCTAGACAACCAAGCTTTTCCATACATCCTCTGAAACCTAGGCAGATACTCCCAAGCCTCAACTCTTGCACTCTGTGCACCCTCAGTCTTAACACCATGTGGAAATTACCAAGGCTTATGGCTTGCACCCTCAGAAGCAGTGGTCCAAGGTGTATCTGGGCCCCTTTGAGTCATGGTGGAGTTGGAAAAACTGACAGCAGTGTGGGGAGCAACGTCCTGAGCCTGTGCAGAGCAGTGGGGCCCTGGGTCTGCCCCATGAAACCATTCTGTCCTCCTAGGCCTCTAAGCCTGTGAGGGGAGGGGCTGCCATGAAGGTCTCTGAAATGCCTCTGAGGCCTTTTCACCATTGTCTTGGCTATTAGCACTGAGCTCCTTCTTACTTATGCAAATTTTTGCAGCCTGCTTGAATTCCTTCCCTGAAAATGGGCTTTTCTTTTCTACCACATGGCCAAGCTGCAAATTTTCCAAACTTTTATGCTTTGTTTCCCCTTTAAATATAAGTTCCAACTTTAGGTCATTTCTTTGCTCATGCATATGAGAATGGGTTGTTAGAAACAGTCAGGCCACATGGTGAATGCTTTGCTGCTTAGAAATTTCTTCCACCAGATACCTTAAATCATTAATCTCAAGTTCAGAGATCCACATATTCCTTAGGGCAGTGGCACAATGCAGCCAAGTTCTTTGCTAAGCAATAACAAAATTGACCTTTACTGCAGTTCCCAGTAAGTTTCTCATTTCCATCTGAGACCTCATCAGCCTGGCTTTCACTGTTGATTTCACTACCAGCATTTTGGTCATAACCATTAAATCAGTTTCTAGGCATTCCCAAACTTTTCCTCATCTTCCTGTCTTCTTCTGAGCCATCCACACTCTTCCAACCTCAGCCCTTTACCCAATTCCAAAGCCACTTCCACATTTTCAGGTATCTTTATAGCAATGCCTCACTTCTTGGTACCAATTTTCTGTATTCGTCCATTTTCACATTACTATAAAGAAATATCCAAGACTGGGTAATTTATAAAGAAAAGAGGCTTAATTGGCTCACAGTTCTGTGGAATGTACAGGAAGCATGATCTGGCATCTGCTTGGCTTCTGGGGAGGCCTTAGGAAATTTACAATCATGGCAGAAGATGAAGGGGGAGCTAGCATATCACATGGCTGGAACAGCAAGAGAGAGAGAAATGGGAGGTGTTACTCACTTTAAACAACCAGACCTTGTGAGAACTCTATCACGAGAACACCAGAGGATGGTGCTAAACATTCATGAAAGATCCATCTCCATGATTCAATCACCTCCCACCAGGACCCACCTCCAATACTGGGGATTACAATTTGACACGAGATATGTGTGGGGATACAGATCCAAACCATAGCAGAGAGTGATGCTTTTATTGTGGTCTTGCCTAATTTTTTGATAGAATATGATTAACTAAAAGCCAGTGTCATGCATTCTTAATTATATTAGGTTACACCATAAGGACATCTCTTACATTTGACTGTTTGAAACCTGTCAAACATTTTATGGGATTTGACCTAGTAAGGCCCCCAGAAAAGTATAGGTCTTTATTTAACATTTATCAAGCCAATATTAACTGTTGGCTTACTTTATGAGCTATCATCGTCTTTCCTTTTCCTCACAGGAGTTGTCTGTGTACTGTGCTTTTATGTTCCATTCACTTTCTGAGCTCACTGTGACCTGATTTCTATCTCTATCACTCCTCAAATCTCTACCAAAATCAGCAATGACTTTCTATTTGCTAAATTTAAAAGACATTTTTCAAT